TGTTCAGAAGGCTGAAGCAAATTATCACTATGGTCCCTTCCCACTTACAATTCCAATTTTGTTAGTCAGCTGACTTTTGGATTAACAACATTTGCTCTTCCTACCTCACTCCCCAGAAGAGGCCTTCTATCTGGACATGAAGAGGAGTTCAGAAATGTTCATGTTCAGAAGGCTGAAGCAAATTATCACTATGGTCCCTAGGTCATAGACGAGAGGATCACACATGCCATGGAACTGTAGCCTCAGCAGGATGGACCAACCTATATATTGCACATAGGGAATGTGTCTGTCTGACTTGATTACAACTCCATATTGAGTGGAAAGAGATTCCTGCTACCCAAACATATGTGAGGCAGTCAGGAGAAGCCCTGCATGGACGAACACCAACCAGACCTTTAGGTTGGACCTCCATCCCCTGCAAAGTCATGTGATCACATAGGACCTCCTGTGTTTCTTAGTAGGCTAGATATGCCCTGTAACACTCTGGGAACTAAATACCCTTCTCTTCCACTCATCAGCCCTCTAAACAGTCTATGTCAAGACATGTTGTTAGCAATAGCTGCCCCCTTATAGAGCTTCCTTTCAAATAAATATGGTATAGTTTGTATTCTTCTTTGTGAAATATTGGAGGCAGAAATGCAGGTGCTCAGATTTTAATCTCTGAGGACCCATTAGGAAGAAAACGTTCCTGAGTTGTTGAGGAAGTTTAGGAGTGGCTTTGGGGAAAAAATTAAATAAGTTTTAAACAGATTTTGGGTATATAGATTGTATTCCACGACCAGATGCTAAGCAGCAGTTCCCACCTTAAAAGATAGATTCTTAATGGTTTGGCTGACCCTCAAGGGAAACAGATCTGTACTAAGATATGAACATCTGTAAGGGTGTGGAGAGATTTATGCAGGAAACCTGCAGTGGACTGCTGGAAGACAAACACTGACAATTTTTCTACGCAAAGCAATGGAATTTTGTTTTCTTAGTAGAAGATTCTAAGTGGGAAACATGAATACAAGTAAAACAATATTAAAGGCATAAAAATTAAGTCACATTAGAAATAAATACAGTTTTAATGTATACTGGCATAGACACATACATCATTCCTGATTCCTTTTCCTTCACTGATGGGATATCAAACTGCTGCAAGAATTTCCTGATTTTGTAGAAGTGTGAAACTGGATGTATGATCTCAGGACATTTAATTTTAGTTTGCTACAGGCTTGAGAGAGGAAGATAAAAAAACAGAGAGAAAGCATACCATATTCAAGGGACAATGCACACACATGCATGCACACATGTACAGTGGCGCCTCGCTTAACGATGATAATCCGTTCCAGGAAAATCACCGTTAAGTGAAAACATCGTAAAACGAAATTAAAAACCCCATTGAAACGCATTGAAACCCGTTCAATGCATTCCAATGGGGTAAGAACTCACCGTCCAGTGAAGATCCTCCATACGGCAGCCATTTTCGCTGCCTGTATAGCGAGGAATCCGTCCCTAAACACAGCGGGGAGCCATTTTAAGCACC